GTTTGCGGTTCAGTACGCAGCGCATCAGCTCAACCTCCATCCCCAGGTCTCCTTGCCAGAGACCTCCCCCACCCTGCGGTGGATGGGGAAGCTTGGCGATGTGTCTGCGTTTCGGGTCTGGGGATCTCGGGCGTTTGTCCGCGACTTGTCTGCGGACAAGCTGTCCCCCCGTGCTGTTCCCTGCGCCTTCCTTGGCTTCCCCCCTAACGCGCCTGGGTGGCAGTTTTACCACCCCACCTCGCGCCGTGTTCTGTCCTCCCAGGACGTCACCTTTGAAGAGTCGGTGCCTTACTACCGTCTCTTCCCCTACCGCACTGCGCACCTCCCCCCGCCGCCGCTCTTCCTTGCGCCAGGTCCTCCCCCGGTAGACCCCCTCCCCCCTCAGGGTCCTGCCCCGTCAGGTGTGTCCCAGGTAGACGCAGTCGAGCTTGTCGAGGTAGCTGTTGACTTTTGTGCTGCTAGAGGTGCTGAGCCTGCGGGTGCCGGGTCTGGAGGTGCTGAGCCTGAGGGTGCGGAGCCTGGGGGTGCTGAGTCCGGGGGTGCTGAGCTTGGGGGTGTTGAGTCTGGGGGTGCTAAGTGTGGGGGTGCTGAGTCTGGGGGTGCTGAGCCTGGGGGTGCTGAGCCTGGGGGTGCGGAGCCTGGGGGTGCTGGGTCTGCTCGTGTGGCCTCTCGCGGTGCTTGGTTGAGGCGGGAGCCACTCTCTCCGCAGGAGCTGCGCGAGTGGTTTGCCCGGCGCTGGAGTCGTGCTGCTGGAGCTGGAGGTACTACTGTTGCTGCTGGGGCTGCTGGAGTAAGTCCTGCTGGAGGTACTGCTAGAGCTGCTGGCGGTACTGGAGCTGCCGGTCCTACTAGAGCTGGTGCTGCTGGAGCTACTGGAGCTGCTAGAGCTGGAGATGCAAGGGGTGTTGGCGCTGGTGGTTCTGCTGGCGCTGGTGCGTCTGAGGGTGCTGGAGTTGGCGCTGTTGGAGCTGGAGGTGTTGCTGGCGCTGGTGCTGCCGCTGGGGGTACTTGTGCTGTCCGTGCTAGTTTTGGAGGCGCTGCGCGGCCGAGGCCGTACTTCGTTCCGCTCCTTGAGCAGGTTCTTGGTCTCCCGCCCTCTACTTGTCCTGCTCCTCCCTTAGAGTGTCCACAGCCTGTCCAGTCGCGGTCACAGTTACAACCCGCCTCCCCTTTACCTGCTCCTTCTCCCTACAATGCTCCTACTGGAGGTCTTGCTGAGCGTCGTGAGCCTGCATCTCGTCCTGCGTCGCCTGTTCGTGCTACTCGCACTAGTCGTCGTGCTCCGCGTCTGCATCCTCCTGCGGTCCCAGGCACACACCAGATGGCACTGCGTCCTTCCACTGCTCCTCTGCGTGTCCTGTTGCCGTCTCCTCCGGAGTCCTCTCTTCCTGTTCTTGCTGCCCGGAGTCTGACTCACTTCGTGCTGCCAGCCCTACTGTCATGCGTCTCCTGGCCACTGTTGTCACTGACCCTTCCTTTGAGTCCAGTGCTGCGTCTGCCTTGGTTGCTGAGCTTGTCGACTTTGCTGCTCGCTGTCGTCTAGACTACGCCGCTATTCTTGTTGCTGAGTCTGGGTCTGTCTGTCCTCCGTCCCTCGGGGGTGAGTGTGCCCTTAGCACGGACGTCCTTTAGGACAGGCAGGAGGAGTTCCAATGTTTTGCTGCTGCTTTGCCTCATCTCGTGTCCACGCTGATTGCCCCTGAGGGAGACCCGGATGCACCAGACATCCCGACTCCTCGATCGTACGCTGAGGCCATCGAGGGTCCCTACTCCTCTCAGTGGCTATCAGCCATGGACGCAGAGATGGCTTCCTGGAAGTCCACAGGCACCTACGTCGACGAGGTTCCCCCACCTGGGGCGAACATCGTCAGTGGCATGTGGATTTTCAGGGTGAAGCGGCCACCGGGTTCTCCGCCTGTCTTCAAGGCGCGTTACGTGGCTCGAGGCTTCAGTCAGCGGCTGGGAGTTGACTACTTTCAGACCTTCTCTCCCACCCCAAAGATGACCACTCTTCGGGTGTTGCTGCACATAGCCGCTCAGCGCCACTACGAGCTTCACTCTCTTGACTTCAGCACAGCTTTCCTGCAGGGCAGCCTGCACGAGGAGATCTGGCTGTGCCGCCCACCTGGCTTCACTGGGTCGTTTCCTCCTGGTACCCAGTGGAGCCTCCGGCGGCCAGTCTACGGTCTCCGCCAGGCGCCCCCTGAGTGGCACGACACACTGAGGACTACACTTGCGGCTCTTGGGTTTGCTCCTTCTACAGCTGACCCGTCGCTGTTTCTGCGCACCGACACCTCTTTGCCGCCGTTCTACATCCTCGTGTACGTCGACGACTTGGTCTTTGCCACTGCTGACACTGCTTCTCTCGCCCACGTGAAGTCGGAGCTGCAGAAGAGACACACGTGCACAGACCTGGGTGAACTGCGCAGCTACCTTGGCTTGCAGATCACCAGTGACAGAGCACAGCGCACCATTACCCTGACTCAGTCACACATGGTGCAGCAGGTTCTTCAGCGCTTCGACTTCAAGTACTCCTCGCCTCAGGCCACTCCTCTGTCTACTCGCCACTCGCTCTCAGCTCTGCCTTCGGATGAGTCCGTAGAGCCGAGTGGCCCGTACCCAGAGCTTGTTGGCTGCCTCATGTACCTGATGACCTGCACTCGACCTGACCTTGCATACCCTCTTAGCATCTTGGCACGCTATGTTGCTCCTGGGAGACACCGACCAGAGCACATGGCTGCAGCGAAGAGGGTGTTGCGCTACTTGTGCAGTACGTCGGGCATGGGGCTAGTGCTTGGAGGGCGACGTCGAGTGGTCCTCACAGGTCACGCAGACGCTTCTTGGGCTGACGACCAGGCTACGCAGCGGTCGTCACAGGGTTACACCTTCAGCCTTGGCTCCGGCTCTGTTTCGTGGCGGTCTACTTGCTCGTCTTCTGTTCTCGGCTCCAGCTGTGAGGCTGAGATCTACACGGGGGCCATGGCTGTACAGGAGCTACGCTGGCTCACCTACCTGCTGACTGACCTAGGAGAGCCACCTCGTTCTCCTCCAGTTCTGTACGTAGACAACAAGGCCATGCTGGCCTTGTGTTGGGAGCACAGATTGGAGCACAGAACGAAGCACATTGCTCTCCGCTACTTCCTTGCTCGTGAGCTGCAGCAGCGTGGTCAGCTGCGCCTTGCTTACGTGGCCTCTGAGGCCAACACTGCTGATATCTTTACCAAGGCACTTCCGCCTGGTGATCATCAGCGCTTCTGTACTATGCTAGGTCTTGTGCCTACTTGGCCTCACTTGCTCACTTCTTGACCTTGCTTGTACTGTGATCTTTCTATACCTGCACTTGCCTGTTTATCTTTATATATTATCTTGCATGTGAACTGACCTTTTGGCCTTGCTCTTGTGCTCGGATTGTGTGGTGACGTTGTGATCCACCCTGAGCTTGCTTTGCTTTGCTTGACTGGTCTTGTGACCTCTTGTTCTCCCCCACTTTGCCTATGGGGTAGTGTCAAACTTATATTATATAGCTTGTCTAGGCTATAGTGGGGTAGACACTATGGGGTACAGTTTCCTTGGGTTTCCTACTTGTACCCAACCTTGTGCTAGTTCATTCATTCCTCATTCTTCACAGTTGTACCCATTTTGCATTCCACGTGCGCAGGGGACCCGACCTTGTGCAAGTGGCAAATCAGCAAGGATGGACTGCCCTTTGCATCCGGAGCGTTTGCGGCATGTGCCATCGCGGCTTTCGGAGGGAAGCGGAAGGACAAAGAAACAACTATAAAGCTGTACCACCTGTCGTGGCTCGAGCACCTTGTACGTTTACACCGATGCGAACATATGTTGTAGCCACTTTCGTTCAACTAGCCGTTCTAAATGGGCTTCTCCTGCCTTCGCAAATCACGGACGCCATTATCAACTGGGAGAAGCGCAAGGGGAAACTGCACAACTCTCCGTGCAAGAACGGCGCTTCTGTGCGGAGGATTCAGAAGCTGGCTTTCGATGCCATTGCGGATGCAGTATGCCGGAATGAAGTGCCCTACGACGAGGAGAAGAAGTCCTAGAAGTGGGCAGGCATGGGCTCTGTCTATCATCTTGCGGCCTGGAATGCCTCCTGGAAGATGAAGCAGCCTCCGAAGACGAAGAATATGAGTCCTCCGCGTCGGAAGCATCGGATAGTGAAACAGATGGGTGAAGTGCTGATAGTGTGTTTAATCCAATTGTGTGTCGTAGACTAGTGTAGTGGTTTAGTGGGGACAGGTTGTGGTGGTTGTTGGTTCAGTGCATATGTGCAATAAATCGGTGACATATATTTTGGATCTTGCACACCTAGGGGAGACCTTGCGCATGTTGGACACGAGGATGGTTGAAACGCAACTCTCTGCATTTCGCACAGTACGGCGACAATTGCGGCGCTAATCGCGGCGACATATGCGGCGGGTTAAATAGGAGCCGTTAGATGCCACACTAGTCTAGCGACGTGGATAGAGGGCAACCGTACAATCCGCCGAACCGCTCATCAATGAAACGGGCCTTTTTTTAGACCGACGACAGTGTCCAATGGCTATTTGCCACGTGTGTGATGGAGATGGTCACAGGTGTGTTATCGTGAGATCCGCGACAATTACGTGTGAACGTGCGATTGGTATGAGTAGTCCTAGTTGGAAAACCCTATCACCGAACGGACGGCGTGTGTAGGTATAGGTGGATTCCACTACAAATCGAGGGATGACATTTGTATCGGACGGACGGTAGAGATGAGGCGTATGCGTGTGAGATCTGGAGTTTGTCGGCGTATCCGGAGCGGCCATGTGCCGTGCTGCGGTTGGCAGAGCGGAGTTGCCACTCGACAATCGCGGTCGTACAACTGTGGCCATCTCGACCGTACATGCGGCACGATACGATTCGTTATGGTTGGGCATCCACCTGTCATAAAGCGTGATTACACGTGTAGATATTATTCTGACGTGGAATAGTGACTTCATGTATGCTAATCGGCAGCTATGTGGCAACGCACAGTTTTAAACGTGGAGTGTCCGCATGGTGACGCAAATGTCACTGACAGGTACATGACGTAGAAGCGACCCCCATGACGCTGTGCGTGCTGCGGCCATGTTGCGGGAAACGTTGCTAAAAAGCTGCGGGAAAGTTGCGGGAAAACCACTTTCCATGTAACCCTGACCCAGAAGCCTTTGACCTAGACTTTTTTCTTGCGAAACCAAAGTTGCGGAAAAGCAACTTTGAAGCTGCGGGGAAGCAACTTTTCCGGCTTTGGTTTTTCGCGATGGGGGCTTTTGAAGCTGGACCTGAGCAGCAACAGGCTGTCGGGTGAGTGCGTGTGACGTGTAGGATCACGGGTTGCGCGGTACTACTCGCAGATGTTTTTCACTCAAGAGTTGACGTCACGCCGTCACTTCCACGTGTGCTCGAGTATCTCGAATGCCTTGCGCCCATCCAGATTCCGCCCATACAGTGTCATACACGCGCATTTAAATCTACTTTTCCCTTCCCATCCACCCGCCCACTCCTCCCTTCCTACCTCCATATTCCAGGCAAGTTGCCAAATATCATCAACTGTCCCAAGGAGCTGCTCCTGGCGAACAACGGATTCACCGCCGATCTTCCCAGCATGGACTCGTGCGCGGGCGTGGTGGAGCGCATGGACCTGTCGTACAACCAGCTGTCGGGCGCCATCCCCACCATCGTTGCGGAATTCTCGTTCCTCACCCACCTCTCTCTCTCGCACAACGCCCTGAACGACACCATTTCCGAGGGAATCGCGGATCTGCGCAGCCTGCGCGTGCTGGACCTCTCGTGGAACAAGTTGCAAGGGTCCATTCCCGCCGCGCTTGGGCTGTCAGAAGCTCTTCAAGAGGTGTACCTTGCGGGGAATCAGCTGGATGGGACCATTCCCAACACCATGACGACTTACCCTGACTCTTCGTTCCTGCCCGGGAATAAATTGCTGTGTGGTGAACCTGTGAAGCAGTGCGAGGATGCACCCATGGAGAAATAGTAGCTAGGTGCCAACCAGCACTCAAGACTGCAAGCAATTCACCCCTTCTCACCTGACCAATTTTGCTACATCGCATAAGTTTTTGCAGAGGATGTTACAAGGTTCCCTGATGTAACATCAATATCCTTCTCCTACCTACGGTATATAAATCAGGCTGAATATTCCTGTAATCCTGTGGGCAAACAGCCTTGGTCTAATAAGAAATGTGCAAGAAGAATAGAGCGCTTGGTTGCTACAAGCCATGATCTTGCCATGCCTCAGCTGCTGCTCGGTGCAAGAGGCAGTGCCGATGGGCCAGCACCTGTAGAGTAAGCAAGGGATGGATGGGTGGATACACGTAACACGAGTCATGCCAGGATGTGCATCGTGCAAATGCAACACATGCTGTGTTACGGCACACAAAACAGACTGCAGGGAAGAGCACGAAATTGTCAGCTATTGGGGAGGCTGCAAACACTAGGAAGTCCAAGCGGGGCAATGGGGTGAGGTGAAGGAGCACGAGAGCAAGTGCACCAAGCAGAGGCTGCACGCTGCGCCTGGGTGCTGCGCACTGGGGGCCTGGGGACTGCGCACTGGGGGCCTGGGGACTGCGCACTGGGGGCCTGGGGACTGCGCACTGGGGGCCTGGTGGCTGGGGGCTGGCGACTTGCAGAAAGATATCGCGCGAATGTGTGTACTGTCCTGGGCGTCAAGGCTGTGCCATGGTGCATTGACAGCCGAGCAGACCGCCCTGGCACATGGAAAGCCGGGGGGCATGCTTTGCAGTGCAGATCAGGCACTGCTGGGTCACGCAGATAGCACCTGTACTTGCTGAGAGGTGGGAAGGCGATGATTACATGGTCATTAGGCTATTGGGAATAAAAGGCCAACATGTTCTTATGTTGGTGAGAGATGGGGAGGCAGATAGCACCTGTGAGAGATATTTCCACCTGTGAGAGATATTTCCACCTGTGAGAGATATTTCCACCTGTGAGAGATATTTCCACCTGTGAGAGATATTTCCACCTGTGAGAGATATTTCCACCTGTGAGAGATATTTCCACCAGGGCTAATTTTTCCACCTGTGAGATATATTTCCACCTGTGAGAGATATTTCCACCTGTGAGAGATATTTCCACCTGTGAGAGATATTTCCACCTGTGAGAGATATTTCCACCTGTGAGAGATATTTCCACCTGTGAGAGATATTTCCACCTGTGAGAGATATTTCCACCTGTGAGAGATATTTCCACCTGTGAGAGATATTTCCACCTGTGAGAGATATTTCCACATGTGAGAGATATTTCCACCTGCGAGAGATATTTCCACCTGTGAGAGATATTTCCACCTGTGAGAGATATTTCCACCTGCGAGAGATATTTCCACCAGCAAGAGATATTTCCACCTGTGAGAGATATTTCCACCTGTGAGAGATATTTCCACCTGTGAGAGATATTTCCACCTGTGAGAGATATTTCCACCTGTGAGAGATATTTCCACCTGTGAGAGATATTTCCACCTGTGAGAGATATTTCCACCTGCGAGAGATATTTCCACCAGTGAGAGATATTTCCACCTGTGAGAGATATTTCCACATGTGAGAGATATTTCCACCTGCGAGAGATATTTCCACCTGTGAGAGATATTTCCACCTGTGAGAGATATTTCCACCTGCGAGAGATATTTCCACCAGTGAGAGATATTTCCACCTGTGAGAGATATTTCCACCTGTGAGAGATATTTCCACCTGTGAGAGATATTTCCACATGTGAGAGATATTTCCACCTGTGAGAGATATTTCCACCTGTGAGAGATATTTCCACCTGTGAGAGATATTTCCACCTGCGAGAGATATTTCCACCAGTGAGAGATATTTCCACCAAAGAGAGATTTTTCCACCTGTTCTTCCCGTGGATAACCCGTTCTCGCATGAGCAACAGCAGGGTGGTACTCCCCTAGCCCAGCTGGGCACAGCAGAGGTCAAGGGGAGAGGGCAGAAGCTCATAGGCAGATGGATGGTATGGTGCAATCCTGCTCCAACATGATCAACGAATGGCAGTGCACCCATGCATGGCGGTGCGCCCATGCATGGCGGTGCATGTGGATGGGCTTAATCCCTTCCTCTGCGCTTCCTCACCCTTACGCCCATGCTGCGCTTCCCACCCCATGCTTCTCGTCCTGCTCGCACATGTGACGCGTCTGACCTGAAGATCACGGTGGTACCCGCCTCCCACGTATGCCGCCACTGGGATTCCCATGCCCACACACGTGTCCATCACCTGATGGTGGGTGTGCCGTGCATGTCAGACGGCATGCACCATGCACATGCAACATGTAACATGCTCCATGCACATACAACATGTAACATGTAACATGTAGCATGCAACATGTAACATGTACATGCATGCCACGGAATGGAATAACGGAAAAAAGGGCAGGTTTGAAGTCACTGGAGCAAGCGAATGGGTACGGGGCAAGGCAGTTAAGGCAGTGGGATGAGGGGGAGGAAGAGAGGGGAATGGAGGGTAAATTGGAAGGATGGGAGATGAGATGCATGGACGGCGCACGGCTGATAGTCGTTGCCGAGTTGGAGAGAAACAGGCTGGCTGGGGGCTTGGATAGGATGAGTATGCGTTACGCCATGCGAATCAGGCCATGCGCAGAGGAGAAGGCTGACAAGATGTCTCTGGTTATGAGACGTCTCAGAACAAGAGGGATGTGGAGAGAAGCAAGCATCACCTGCATGTCTCTGCGAAACAGGCCCTGGTCAGTGAGGCATAGCCTGCGCGGCATGGGGCATGGGCATGGGCAGGGGCATGGGCAGGGGCATGGTCATGCGGCGAGAGAGGAGTTGGGAAGAGACAGCAAGATGATGGATGGAACAAGAGCACCGACTGAGGGGATTTTTTAGGCGTCTCTAATCAAGATGATGGAACGATGGCATTGGCAGAGGGAACATGCGCGGTGGAAGTGCGAGACGCGGAGTGGAAAACTGAGATGATACAGGTCGGTAGAAAAGAGAACGTTACATACAAATGCACACATATAAATTCATGTGCGTATCCACATACACACACATATACATACATACATACATACACACACACACACACACACACACACACAAACACACACACACACACACACACATACATACATACATACATACATACATACATACATACATACATACATACATACATACATACATACATACATACATACATACATACATACACACACACATACATATGTGTATGAAGGGAGAGAGACAGGGGAGGAGGGCAGGAGGGCGAGAGGGAATGCTTGCCGAGAGCATCATCTTTGTGTGGGTCGATACCAAGAGACAGATCTCACATCGTACAGCACAAGGTGAGGTCAGCACCCAGGTGACTTTTGAGTCGACTCAAAAGTCACATCGTACAGCACGAGGTGAGGTCAGCATCCAAGCTCATAATGGAATAGGTTCAAACTCCAGCACCGGCGTACAGCACCTGAAGGAACCTAGTCACATACTTGCCGAGGGCGTCACCCTTGTGTGGGTCGACACCAGCATCGTACAACACAAGGTCAGGGCGGAATGATGCGAGTACCTGCAGGTGAGGAGATGCAGGTGCACGTGCAGGTGATTGGGAATGTGGGTGAGCGGGAATGTGAATGCACAAGTGCGGGGGTGAAGTTGGGAAACAAGGAAAGGTGATTCTATCAGCACATGTGCACGCTCACGCACAACACAGGTACATAGAACTGTGCAGAGGAGCAGAGGAGCAGGAGCAGACGCACCGAGGGGAGGTGGTGAGCAAGCAGGGCAAGGTACTGAGCATCCCCCGTTCCCTCTGGTACGTCCACATCCAAGTCGCTGCTCTGATGGCATGGGATGGCATGGCATGGCATGGGATGGCATGGCATGGCATGGGATGGCATGGCATGGCATGGGATGGCATGGGATGGCATGGCATGGGATGGCATGGCATGGCATGGGATGGCATGGCATGGCATGGGATGGCATGGGATGGCATGGCATGGGATGGCATGGCATGGCATGGGATGGCATGGCATGGCATGGGATGGCATGGCATGGCATGGCATGGGATGGCATGGCATGGCATGGCATGGGATGGCATGGCATGGCATGGGATGGCATGGGATGGGAGAGACATTCTGCAAGGGGGTGTCAAAAAGTGCATGTGTCAACGAACGGGAGAATGGGAAGGAACGGAGACGAGGCACCAACACCAGTTTTACACAACGCTCCTTGCAATGCTAGTACCTCTTCTGAGAATACTCAATAGTGACTCAATCATAGCCCTTGTTGGCACGTGCTGAGATCGGCCTCAGTAACTTACAAGACAGAATACATGGTAACGAGAAGGTACCATGCACGAGTGAGTGGACTGTAAGAGTGGTAATTATTCGCTATCATCATACTTAAACGATCCCTTTAAGGCATCACTCCACTTGTCGATTAATCAGTCATTCCCCCCTTTCAGTATCCCCTTACTCAGCTGAGCCGTCTCCTCGTAGGAGTACCACCATGCATCACTGTCCAGTCCTTATCGGGAAAACGAAGGCGAACAGAAGGAAGGAGGGGGAAGAGGAGAAGCAGTGTGCGGCAGCGGCAGGCAGGCAGGCAGGTGGGAGGGAGGGAGTGAATTGCTTGGTGGGGGGGAAGTTGGCGCCACAGTGCATGCATGCTGAAGGTTTGTTGAGGCGCCTCAAATCTCATCTCACCTGTTTGGTGGAGGGGAAGTTGGCGCCACAGTGCATGCTGAAGGTGAACACACTAGGGCATGCAGACAGCATGGCTGCTGTGCCGTCACCCTGTGAGAATGGGGGTTGGGGTGTGCGTGGGAATGGGGGTTGGTGGGAGGGAAGGGAGAAGGACATATTGACGGAGGGAGGGTGTGTTGGGAGTATGGAGGGAAGGGACCGAGTGAGGGAGGAACAGGGGAGGGAGCGAGGTGAGGAGAGGGGAGGAGGGAGGGGAACAGGGAGGGGAAGAGTAGAGAGAATCTGGAACTTCAAGGGAGAGGGGAGTTGGAGCAGGAGAACGGAGGGACCAGGTGCAAAGGGGGATTCAGGGGTCAGGGGGCCGAGAAGAATGGCCAGAAGGAGAGAGCAGGAGGGGTGATTGAAAAGGAGCGAGTGGGATCCGAGGGAGCATCACCTGGTGCACATCCAGGTCGACTATTGCCACGCGCTGCACTCGCTTCATCACCGCCCTCTCGCTCCCACCGCCTGCTGCTCCCTCCAGCAGCTCTCTCCACACGTCGTCCTCCTGCTCGCCCTCACCAGCTGCACCTGCTGCTGCTGATGGTGCTGCTGGCAACACCAACGGCAATGATGCTGTCTGTGATTGTGATTGCACTGATGCTTCTTGGGTTGGCGAAAGCTCTGCTGCTAGTGGCGACGGTGGCAGTGGCGAGGGCGGTGGCAAGGGGTGCAGGGAGGAGGAGGCTGTGAGGGCAGCGGCCGTGACAGCAAGGTCGTTCAGAATGCAGTAGCCCGACCCGTGGGCTCGAAACGCATGGTGCGTGCCTGGTGAACGGGCGGGTCGGGGTGGGCGTTGGAGATAGGTGGGCGTTAGAGACAAGGGTAACGTACAATGGTTACGCCCATACTGTATCCATTGGCATGGCAGGCAGGGACAGGGTGTGCATCTGAGAGGGCATGTTGTCTTGCCATGCACATGCACATACTCTGGTGCCTGCACCCACGCCTGCACAGGTACCGTACATCAACACATGCACACACATACACACAGATATGTGCACATTGTTGTGGAGAGAGAGTGTTTCGCCCACCAGTCAATACCAAAAAGGGATAAGGCATTTGGTTCAGGCTGTGCATGGTCCTATGGTCTAGTGGTTATGACGTCAGACTCTGAATCTGAAAGGCCGAGTTCAATTCTCGGTAGGACCTTTGTTGTACATTTCAATCACATGCAAAGCCACATTCTCTTTTCTAAGGGCGCTTCACCTCTCAGTTCGAAAAGCACGGTTGTTCGAACAGGCGAAATGTTACATTATTCGCCACTCCTCGTATGGGTGTTCGTGACGTCGCTAGTCGGAAATTTCGCGAATTTGAAACAGAGTTGTCACACGGGGCACGAAGCTCTCCATTCCGCACGTTCGAACAGAGTTGTTCGAACAAAGTTGGGTTTGGTGACAGGAATTCCGCATGGACGACTGATTTTATTGGTTAGCAGGCGTCGGGTCGCACACGAATGTTTGCGACCATTGCAAATGTCGCCATGCAGGAGAAAGTTCATCGATAAGGACATTGTTGTTGGGAAACAACAAGGTGAGCAGTAGTAGAAGAGCACGAAGAGACTGTTTGACTGGATGGGGGAAAAATGAGTCAAACTTGAATGGCAGACGACAGAATTATTTTTTTTGCGACGTTTCGCGAAGTCGTCCAGCACTTGGCGACGTCGCATGTTCGAACAGGCTGTCACCTCTAGTCACGAGCTGTCACATTCACCAAGGTGTTCAAATTTGTGTTCGGATCTCGTCGGGAAACTGTTCGTACGGTGAATTCGTTACGTATGTTCGGATTTGGGCCTTCCAGCCCCGAGGTGATGCGCCCTAACCCACCCAAAAGCCGCACTGCCACCACCTGCACCGATCCCTCGCCATTCAACGGCCTACGCACGAGCCCATTCATTATTCTCCCATGCTCTGCTAAGTGCTCCCTCCTGCCGGCCTTAAAGCTCAAGGCCGAAATTGCAGAGCGCGCCGGGCAAGATTACTTAAGTTGATGAAAGTGATGTTTTGAGTGTTGTTTGGCTGCGAATTGTGGTTACGTGAAGTGCGATGCAATTTGATTGGCCAACAGTTTTTTTGTCGAACAGGAGAGAAGGAACACCAAGAATATTGTGAGTGCAATTTGGGACTCGAGAACCAAACCGAGTTTCTCCCTGGGGTTTGCTGAGTCAGCGAAAACCCTAAGGGTGTAGCGAGAAGCTGGGCGAAACTAAACAGCCCAACTTCAACAAAGTCAACCTTACTCTCCCACCACCCAACGGGCAACCTTAGTAAGGTTGAACAATTTGGGCCTTGAGCTTTAAATAGCTGAACTGCACCATGTTCTCCTCTCCCCTCTTCACATGTACATGTAGGTAGGACAGGCAGAGGGGAGAGGAGGAGACAGACGGAGCCCCCAAGTTCTACACAGGCGTGTGGCTCGTTCCCAACCGCACGATGATCCGGACCAAGCCTAGTCCGGACCAAGAACTTGTAGTTTGGATAACACTGTACAGAAACTGTAGCATTTTTGGCCGTATGAGGCAAATTCTAGAATTTTTGGCCAATGTGGTCCTATGGTCTAGTGGTTATGACGTCAGACTCTGAATCTGAAAGGCCGAGTTCAATTCTCGGTAGGACCTGCTTTTTACCATTTTCCATGACCGCTCTTTCACACCCCCTCACTGCCTAGCCCGTGCCTTCCACCCCCCTTTCCTCTGGACTCAAATCACATGTCAAGCCACCTTTTCCAGCCCATACAAGAGCAGCACAGCTGCCCCGCACACGAGCCCATCCACTCTTCTTCCAAGCTCCTCCAGGGTGCTCCCTCCAGTCGGCCTAAAATACCTGACTTCAACACCCTCTTCCCCTCTCCCGTCTCCACACACTTACTCCACTTCTCAACACGCAGAGGCAGGTGGGGTAGACAGCGGGGAGAGGAGGAGACGAACGTGCCTCATACTCACCCTCATCATCCTCCAAAGAAAACTACCTCAGTCAATCAACACATCAACTCACTGCGAGTGCCGATCTCTCACCCCCCTCTCCCCTCACCCTTGTAACACTGCCATGCCCCCCCTGCGAAGCTATCAATGAATATCAATCACATTCAGTCAGCTGTATTTTCAGCATCCTTACCACCTCACCCCTCCTCCCCTTCCACCGCCCAACAAGTGCAGCCTACCTCCTGCCGTGCTGCATGCAAGTCCATGTTCCAGTGCCAGCTGTGCCGTCTCCAACGTGCCTGCCACCTGGGGGAAGGGGGAGGAGCGAGTGGGGAGGAGAGTGGGGAGGAGAGAGGGGGGACGAGAGTGGGGAGGAGAGTGGGGAGGAGAGAGGGGAGGAGAGAGAGGAAAGAGGCAGGAGAGAGTTGGGGAGGGGGAGGAGAAAGGTGGGAGGAGGGATCAAGGGAAGACAGAGGTGGGGGGAAGAGAGGAGGGGACGAGCGAGGTGGGGAGACAGGATGGAAGAGCAACGGAGCATGAGGAGGTGAGACACTGCACACACATGCTTCACGCAGGAGCAGCCGCCCTCCAACGCCCTGCCACGCATGCAGCTCACTCACCCACACACATACCAACACCTCCCGTGCCCCGCCCTCTAACTCCCCTGCCCCCTACCTCAGCGCACCTCGGCGAGAGTTCGTCTAACGAGGGTGGGCGACCAGGGGAAGCCAATGCGGCGCATGGCAGCCGAGGGCAGCGCGCCCTGGCAGACCTGCGCCAGGTACTGCGCACAGTGCACCTGGGGGAAGGGGGAGGGGGAGGGGAGAGGGGGGAGGGGGGAAATGGGGAGGGGGAGGGGAGAGGGGGGGAGGAAGGAAGAGGGGGAGGGAGGAGAGGGTGGGAGAAGAAGAGTGGAGTGGAGAGAAGGGGAGAAGGGGAATAGGGTGCATGGTGGACTTGAGGTGAGGAAAGAGCTGTGGGCGAAGGTGTGGAAGGTGGAGAGGGGGAGGGGGTAGAATGCCGTGTTGATGCACCATAGACATGTGTTGGCGTGCGCGTGGCGTGTGCGTGGCGTGCGTATGGCGTGCGTGTGGCGTGCGTGTGGGGAAGACGCTTCTTGGGGCGGTGCAGAGAGCTGACAGTGCGTGGTCGGGGTTGCTGAATTCATAATAGCGCGGGGGGATGGGGAGGGAGAGAGCGAGCAACCAGGCGAGGAAATCTAGCCAGCAAAACATGGACCAAGGGGGGGTGGGGAGGAGCGGGGAGGAGGGGGGAGGAGGGGGGGGAGGAAGACCACGAGGGGGTTTGGAAGGGAGGGAGGGACGGGAGGGAATGAAGGGGAGGGAGGGGAGGGACAGACCTACTCGAAGCAGGTCGGAAACGGGCGGCATGGGGTGTGGCGTGACCACCTGGAGAGCGAGAGGGTGGTGGAGCGCGAGTGAGAGCGATGACAGCGGGCGGAGGAATGGGAAGCAACATGGATGGGGGAGGAGAAGAGAGGGGGGAGGAGAAGAGAGGGGGGAGTAAGTGTGCAGGCAGGACGGCGAAGGCGCTGAGAGATGAGGTGAGAGATGAGGTGAGAGATGAGGTGAGAGATGAGGTGAGAGATGAGGTGAGAGATGAGGTGAGAGATGAGGTGAGAGATGAGGTGAGAGATGAGGTGAGAGATGAGGTGAGAGATGAGCCACAACAACATCACGTCACTTTCATCCTCTTGGTACCACTGCTCATCCCACCAATCAACACGCACATTCCCACTGGCCCCATCAACTTTCCCCCAACAACCCCCCTCCCCCTTCCCCCCTTTCCCCCTTCCCCCCTTCCCCCTCCCCCCTTCCCTTCCCCCTCCGCGCCTCTGCACTGCGCGCGAAACTCGCCTGCGCGGGGCGCACCACCCCTTCGCGCAGCAGCATGGCGTGAATTGCCTCGAACACGCCCATTGGAAACCGGTGCCCCGGCGCCAGTTGCGGCGCGCTGAACAGCGCGTGGTGCACCACCGGCAACCCCGCGCAGCCCCCCGCGCGCGTGCGCCCGTCCGCTCCGCCTCGACCCGCCGGCTCCGCGGGCAACGACTGCGCACGCGCGGAAAAACTCCGCGCGTGAGCGGAGCGGCGGAGCGGAGGGCCTGGGGAACGCGAAAAGGACGGGGTCGGAGGCGTGCGGGCTTTGCGGACTGGCGGGATGGAAGTAGCGAAATGAAAACCATGGCTGATTGCGCGCGTGGCCATGGGCGCGATGCGCACGAGCAGGGAGGCGACGGGCGGGGATTGCGAGAGTCGCGGTGTTGCGAGCACGGTTGGCGTGGGAAGAGTGGGGTGAGGCGGTGCGTTCTCTGGGCTGAAAAATCGCGCAACAGTAGTCGAGGTGAGGTGAATGAACATCGTGGATACGCGGTACAAGCTCGGTGGGGTGGAACAAAAAGCAGTCAACTTGTGGAAAGTAGATTACATTAGAGCCACAACCACAATGCGTTTCTAGCTTTAATTGCTTTAAAACTCAATTCTTCTCACCAGCCTGAAAATTAATGCATGCACTGCAAAAGAGCCCTTCCTCTTCGCCTAGTAAAGAAATTGCATCTTCAATCAACAGCGTGACTATACGGCGATACCCTAAAAAAGATTCACACGTACCGTTCATTGAAGTCATTTGCAACGCAACCCAAAACAATGCAACAACTCGTAATGCAAACCACAATAGAAGGCATTGGTACGGTAAGATTCATGAGAGGCATCCATTTTTGGCTACTTGGCAAAAATCATCTCATTGGCTTGCCTAAGCCTGCACGCTTGAAACTCATACCCCGCCATCAGCACAACCATCAGCAGAGCTGCAGCAGAGAGAGATACTCCACTCAGCCCAGCAGCCTTGGGGGGGGGAGCACCGGTAGTGGCGTCTGGCAGAGAGAGGGTAGGCGGAGAAAGGGCACGAGCGGGAGGGGAGGGCGAAGGAGCAGGAGTGGAGATGTAAGGAGTGTTGACGTCGAGGCTGTAAGGGTCAGGGAAGGGCCGGGTGGCGTTGGAGTAGGGGAAGTGGGCGCAGACGGCCGGGTCGAGGGGGCGGCCCGACACGCCCTTGGCGGCCGTCATGTTGACCGCACCGGGCGGGCAGGTGGCGGGGATGGTGAGCGGGTCGCAGCAGAGAGGGGTGACAGGGATCAACGTGTTATTCTTAGAGTAGCAGTTGGTGTCCTGCACAGGGCGGTGGGTGGTGGGGGTGGGAGGTGGGTGGTGGGCATGACAAGTTGAAGCAGCAGCAGTGAGCAGTGAGCAGTGAGCAGCGGCGCACGGGAGAAGCTGGCAAGGTAGCGTTGCACAGCATGTGCGTGGCATGGGCGAGAGAAACAAGCGCACGTGCAAGCTGCTGCGATGTGAAAGCGAGCGACCGGGTTGACTCCCCGGGAGTGGTACCATGGTCCATGACGACGACTCGACCCGCAGATGGGCTCACCGAGACGGTGATGTTGAAGCCGGGGATGTGCTGCGCGATGAGCGGCACGATCATCAGGTCATTTCTTTCTGACGGGTAGTAAAACAATGAGCCCACCTCGAATTCCCTGCTCACTGCATGCACGCGCGCCACAGCAAGCCGCAACCAGACAAGAGAATGGAGAACGGAAGGATATAGGGATGGAGAGATTCTTAATGAAAGTCGAAAAGCGCGACACGGGCGAAACCACCGTAACGCAAGAACACGGATCTGACCCTTTATATGGCGACAGGCGTCGAAAATCAAATCAAGGAAGTCCAAACAGATGTGCAGCGTGTACTTGCCGGGCTTGCCCGTGTGTGAGTCTGCCACACATGCCGGCGAGAACGCGGGAGCAGAAACGGGAGCCCGCGTCGGGGGAATACGGCGGGGAAGAGGGAGAGGAAGGGGGAGAACGGGCGCGGTAAGGCGGGGGGAAGGCAAGCGGCTGGCGGGTCAAGTGCAGCAGAGCGTTGAAAGGAACGAGTGGGGTTCGCAGAACATGCACTGTTTAGGTTACGGCGTCTCACCGGGATTGCACTGCACGGCGCAGGCGAGTTGCTCTAAGATTTGCGCGCACGTCTCATTGCCCTTCGTGAAACCACGGATCTGCGCGCACGCGGGCACACTCGCACTCGCGTACACGCACAAGACAAGACTGCTGATTCTTATTCCCCAGAGCAGGTGCAGCGTGTCAACGAACGCTGACCAAAACACATGCAGGCAGGCGGCACTGATGCTTCGATCTACATTGATGTATTGATTCCCTTATCATCGTGCGCTCACTCACGCTAGCCGGCGGCGCGGAAACACCGAAGAAATCCCGCAAACTAGGCCACAGCGCGGCGGTTACGTTAACAGCGAGCGACTGAACGGCGAAGTTAAGGTCGGCGCAAGCGTCGGGGCAGCACGACATGTGCGACGCTCCGACACACCGCGTGGGGGGAACTGTTGGCTTCGTGGGTGGCTTGCCGGTCAGCGGACAGTTGGTTGACGGCAGGCGCGGAGTCGCCGCCAGCAGCGCCGTGAGGAGCATCGCCGCAATGAAGCGACTCGAAGTCTTCGCTAGTGTAGTGGCCCTAATGGCGAGTGCTGGGAGCTGGAGGACCCTCGTTGATCAGCATGTGCTAAGTGGAAACTACACACCGCGGCTGGAACAGAAGCAGAGGTTGAGTTGAACCGAGGGAGGAAGCGCGGGTCAGGCTGACTGCTGTTGCTGGGTTGCACTACGCTCATGGTGGATGGGTGGCTGTAATCGCGTCGCGAGGTGAGAGAATTCTGTGTAAGGGAGACGGCAAGGCGAGGAAATGACGGACCGCCGTGTTTGCGCGTTTTCGATTCCTTTCGGCAGTGGCTTTGACAGCGACTCCCACCGCGCTCGCGCCCAATTCCCGCGGTCAGTTTATATTGCTGTTTCCCGTTTTTCATGACCAAACGTATAGAAGGGCAAATATTAAGTTCTCCTGGGTTCAGTATAGAGGCCAGTGGAAAAACTAAAACCCACTCGGATGACAAGCCATTTGGGAGGCATCAACCCTAAACACCTTGCCTCATGGTGTTTAGGGTTGATGCTCTCTTCGTGGCATACCATCCATGAGGGTTATATTTTTTTTGTCCCGAGCTGAGCGTTAGCCTGGACTCGACGAATACATTTTCAATACCCCGTAACCTAAAAACAACTTGTATTTGTGGTCTTAAAAGGGGAAACTGAGAAAGAATATGCCCCAAGGTATTGGACGCGAGCGCAGAGCGTTGCGCTGTCAAAACCACTGCCCATTGGAATTGGAAATTTGAAAACACGGCGCTCTGTCATTTCCTCCGGCAAGGCTCTCCGACCGAACCGCCAAACTTATCCGCTCTCCTCTCCACCTTTCCCATGTGGATGGGGGTGTGTTTGGTCCCGCTATTTCCGTTGTGTAGGCACTCAGTATGTTCATGGTTTCGTTATTCGTTTTTCGTGCGCGATCTGATGGTTCATTCATAACAGAAGGGAATGCAGTAACATATAGAAGCCATGTGCTGTGTTAATCCAAATTAACTATAGTGCAAACAGCATGATACTTGCATCTTCATTCAACAGCATGATTATTATAGGTCAATACCAGAGATTCCCAAACGATTTGTAGAAGTCATCAGCAAGGAAATCCAATACAATGCAACATGCTATGACGCAAAGCACAATAAAAGGTACGGTACGTACCGTACGTCACATCCGCGTGAGGCTCCTTGGCCAAAATCAGACCGTTGCTTGCCTCAGCCTGCACGCTTGAAACTTATACACCCCCCATCAGCAGAACTGCCAGCAGTGGCAGGACCGCAGCAGCGAGAGAGAGTCCGTCTGCCCCAACAGCCTTGGGGGGAGGAGGGGGGCTGGGGCCAGCGGGAGGAGGAGAGGCAGATGGGGGAGATAGAGACACGACGCTTGGGGGAGGAGCGGAGAGGTTGGGAGCTGCGGGAGGAGGAGACGCAGATGGGGGAGACTGAGACACGGCTCTTGGGGGACGAGCACCAGTAATGGGTGCCGGCGGGGAGGAGGTAGGTGGAGAAAGGGCAGGGGCAGGAGAGGCAGGCACGGGAACAGGAACAGGAACAGGAGTGGGGGGCAAAGGAGTAGGAGTGTAGGGGTAAGGAGTGAAGACATCAAAAGACCCAGGGAAGGGCCGGGTGGCATTGGAGTAGGGGAAGTCAGTGCTGTCAAACATATGTTTATATCATATTTGTGGGTAGGCTGTAGTGGGGTAGATTATGTGGGGTATAACCCCTTAGGGTTTTCCCTTGTACTCATTCTCTCGATAGTGCAACTCACCCATGCCTAGCTTCTAAGATGGTATCTAGAGCATAGGTCTTCAGGACCTAAGTTTAGGGCCCACCGTTCATCACATTACCTCACCTATGGCTTGCCTGCCTTGCCTATCGCCCGCGCGCGCCTCAGCTGCACGCGCGCAGCCACTTTTTTTTTCCCCGCGCGCGCCATTTAAATAGCCCGCGCGCAGCCCGTTTTCGGCCCCGCGCGCCACATTAGTCGACCACGCCGCCTACTGTCGTCCCGCGCGCCGCTTAAATCGCCCGCGCCCAGACGCTTAGGCCCCGCCCGCGCAGCCCGCCGCCACACGCAGCCCGTAGCCGCGCGCAGCCTGTCGCCAAGCACAGGCAGCAGCCGCGCGCAGCCCACAGCCGCACGCAGCTCGTCACCACGCAAAGCCAGCAACTGCGCGTAGCCCGGAGCCGTGCGCAGCAGCTGCAGCAGCGCGTGCCTTGCCTGCCTTGCGTAGGCGAGCACCACTTCAGCAGCCGCCCCTAGAGCAGCCGCCCCTGGACCCTCAAGCAGCCGCCCCCGGACCCAGAGCAGCCGCCCCTGGCCCCTGCAGCAGCCGCCCCTGGTGCAGCCGCCCCTGGACCCAGAGCAGCCGCCCCTGGCTCCTACAGCAGCCGCCCCTGGTGCAGCCGCCCCTGGTGCAGCCGCCCCTGGACCCTCAAGCAGCCGCCCCTGGCTCCTACAGCAGCCACCCCTGGACCCCGTGACGCCGCCTCTGGACCCTCGAGCAGCTGCCCCTCGACCCAGAGCAGCCGCCCCTGGCCCCTGCAGCAGCCGCCCCTGGATCCAGAGCAGCCGCCCCTGGACCCAGAGCAGCTGCCCCTAGCTCCTACAGTAGCCGCCCCTGGACCCAGAGCAACCGCCCCTAGCTCCTACAGCAGCCGCTCCTGGTGCAGCCGCCCCTGGACCCTTGAGCAGCCGCCCCTGGACCCTTGAGCAGCTGCCCCTCGACCCAGAGTAGCCGCCCCTGGCCCCTGCAACAGCTGCCCCTGGTGCAGCCGCCCCTGGTGCAACCGCTCCTGGACCCAGAGCAGCCGCCCCTGGTTCCTACAGCAGCCGCCCCTGGTGCAGCCGCCCCTGGACCCCGTGACGCCGCCCCTGGACCCCGTCCAGCCGCCCGCCAACACCGGCCCTGCTCGCCCGGCGAGCGCCGGCCCTTCCCACCACTGGTGAGCACCTGCCTTGTTCGCGCACTGCCGCGCCCTCAGCCTGCCTGCCCGCCTGCCTGCCTGCCTGTCTGCCTGCCTGCCTGCCTGCCGCGCCTGCCCTGCCCGCGCTGCTGCTGCTACAACTACTACTGGCGGTGGCCAGATGCAGCTCCAGCGAAGTCCACGTGAGTCCCTCACGCCCTAGCAGCTTTGTGAATGGTACGCTGGTTGGGGTTGTAGGGGTGGCCGCGCTACTACTGCTGCTACTGCTACTACTGCTGTTGCTGCTGCTACTGCTGTTACTACTGCTATTACTGCTACTCCTTCTACTGCTGCTAATGGCGATGGCCATATGCTGCTCCGGCGACGTCCGCGTAAGTCTCTCACGCCCCGGCAGCTTCATGAGTGGTACGCTCAGAGTCGAGGGTCTCTGAGTACCGTTCGCTGCCCGTACATCATTCGCACAGGTGTTCGGACTGATCAGCCTTGCGGGACGCCTGGTCACACAGAGTTTCGCTGCTTCGCCTGTCTGAGCGACGCTTGGCGTACAGAGTTTGGCGACGACGCTGAGCTCCCCGACTGGGTGGAGCTGCTTAGGCAGAGGGTAGATATCTTTGCTCTTGACTATGATGCTATTCTCACTGCGATGTATGCATTGCCTACTGTTGCTGACCGAGCCTTTTACCTGTGCGTACCGCCTGACCCAGGTATCGAGTCTACTGCTCTAGGTTGTGGTGAGGCTGTTGCTCTAGGTGCTGGTGAGGCTGCTGCTCCAGGTGCTGGTGAGTCTGCTCTCTCTGGTACTGCGCTCGCCGAGGCCTTCTACACCTTCACACTTGACTCCGATGCCTCTCGCTCCGTCTTTCGCGACAGCACCACCCTTACGCCGCTCAATCGACCGGTTGCAGTCTACCTGGCAGACCCCTCTGGGGGTCCAGTCCGTGTGACCTCCACCACTGTCCTCCCTTGTCCTGCTGTCCCGTCCGGCACACTGTCGGGTCTTTACCTCCCCTCGTTCTCTACGAACTTGGTGGCGGGTTCTGCGCTCCAGGGCGCGGGTGTTCACCAGTTCACCCCTGCCTACGAGCGTGTGACGCACTGCACGTGTGCTCAGATGGGTCATCACCTGGCT